AACAAGAGCAAAAGCTTATTGTCCAATTAAAAGTTTATGAAATGCTAAAGTAAACACAACACAGTTGTTTAAATTTTGAATTTACATGTAGTATTGCGGAGAGTTTCAAATCTTTGGCTGATAAAGTTCAGTTAACTTTTATGCTAAGCTGAAGATACATATAAGTCAGATAAATTTTGAGTCAAAAAACTTCGGCTTAGTATATTTTCGGCTTATCGTTATGATGTTTTCGTAACGTTGGATTGTATTGTCGATAAATTAATTAAAAATATGCTTTCTTTGAACAGATGTTTCAACAATCAACTTGACATATAAAACAGTTCCACGGATTTGAATCTTTTATCGAAAAGGAATCTATTAAGATATACAATACTACCTGGGGAAAATTCATTAGAATTCGACCAAGATACAAAAGCTTACAGCAGTAAATAGAGAAGATTATATAATGTGGTAAATTATTAATTCTTTTAGTAGTATCATGAATCGCTCGAGCAAACTTTCATTTTTGTCAAAAAACCTAATATGGATGTTAACGTTAACAAAATGACAATGGAATATCAAATTTTATTTTTGTCCTTCATCAAACGCATGTTGTAGACAGTGAAATTCTTACGCGTAATATGTAACAGGCGTAACTTTAACATACGTATACACAATGGAATCTAAAATTGCGAATACTCTTGATCATAGTAAATGAACTAAATGAAAATATCATCATACACACAATTGTAGTAAATGTGCTCTTTGTCAATGGCGGCGCCGTATACGTGCACTGAACTCGGCTTCTACCGAAGCAAAATTAATGGCACATTTTCGATTATATAAAAATGCTCTATACAGTGAAGTTTACTAATATACCGGTTCCGGAAAATCGGGGTTTTTCACTAATGTACCAAATTCTTCTTAATAATGTATATACTCTACACCTGCCGGCCGGCTGTGATTGGCAATTGTGTCACTGAATAAAAATTATATAAAAAATGTGAATTTCAAGCTATGTATATCGATATATATGTATCTAAAATTTATATCATTTTAAAGCTAATTGATTGTATTTTTGAAAAAAATATACAAGACTTGTGGCAACTTAAAATACAAGGACTGTTTTGATTGGAAAGTAAAAAAAATTTTCTAATGCTTTATATGAAAATTGAAAATTTCAAGTTATATATATGTCTTATTAGTAACTATTTCTAAATTTTATATCATTTTAAAGCTAATGTCACTTTTAAATTGAAAGAACTGTTTTAATCATAAAATAATCAAAAAATTTTTACTATATAATTTAAATCAAATGTTACTTTCTGGGTTATATATAATCTGTCCGAATGAGGATGCGTAAATTTTAAACAACAAATTAAAGACAAAAAATGAAAAATACGAAAAACGGGTGCTTAAATCTAACTTGGAGCACGAATTAAAAACGTCGGGAAGGCAATTTTATATAAATTTGATCTCCTTTCCAACCATAATGTTAAAATTACCTTTTAATATTTTTAATATATATCACGCTCTCTTTATAGGCTGATAGATTCTATACCGGGTGTTCTATGTTCATCAAACTTCTACATACAAATAACGTCGTCGCTCCCAAAGGTCCGAAGCTTGGACTTGAAGCTACAGATAAATACATTTACTGTAGTAAGTCCACAGTGTTTTATTGGGCACAAAGATGGAAGGAAACAGAAGATCTAAGCGAGCAACCGAAATTCGGCAGAAATCGATCCACAACTCCGAAAAAGATTGTAGAGCTTGTACAGAAGCAACCGCCACTGATATACAACGGGAAATGAAAGAACGAGTTACTTCTGCGGAGCACTGTGTCATGTAATGTTTCGAAGATTGTAGTAGCTACTTAGTATACAGTGTACGTGTAACGGAATCTCAGTATACTGGCCCAAAGTGCTAGTTTAATGCGGTCGCTGTAGAGGACTTTGACTGTATAACAAATTAGCATTGTAGCTATATAGTGCAAGCAAATTCTGAATACGAAATGCGCTTCTACAGAAATCTGTTAAATAGCAGATAATGATAATTTACTTACTTTTAACTGAAAAATTTACATGTAATATAAAACTATGACCAGAAAAAGTAATCCGTCATGGGAAATAAACACATCTGATTTTTGGTTAGGAAGGAGGGTCAATGATGATTATATAAATAATACAGTATAATATATCAGGTGGAAGTGAGGGGGGTGTGCCTTATAATAAATTGAAATCACCTGATAAAAGACACTTCCCTTACCCGATTTGTAGTTCTCAAAATATTTCGTTACCGTTACAGGATTAGAGATAATTTCGTTACGTTAATGTTAATCGTAACCGAATTAATAAACAAAAATAAGAAAATAAATTTTAGAAGGAATTAAACAAGAAGAAAATAAAAAGATAATTGTCAATATTGTGATGGCTCCCAATTTGGTAAAACCCCGCCTGTCCCGATTTCGTTAGTCTATTTTTATTCGCTTCAAAATTCTCGGCGATAGTCGCTTTTTTAGTTTTGCTTTTGTTTTTTCGATCTTAAATTCTCTCTTAAACAATAGTGCATTATGCGATAATTCTAGAACGATACTTACGATGTAAACAAAAGATGCATATCTAGTCCTCACGGACGTTAATATAATTCAGAATTAAAAATTACGTACAATTCTTCTCCAAGTAATCTAGATTTGTAAAATTGTTGTAATTGATTGTGGCTTGGTCATTTGATCCAGAAAAGGCAATATTATTGATATTTTTAACGGAATTTTGATTAATTGATGAAAAGCACTTTGTTGATTGAATAGTTTAAGGTTTTAGCTAGAAAAAGCAACGATAAACCCGTCACGTAAAACATATAAAACCCAAAACCACCTCACCTAAGAACTCGAACCCATCCAAATTCTCTTCTAAAACCCCTCTCTACCGTCATACTGAACGATGTCCGTAGACATCGGCACAAGAATTAGACACTAACGAACACCACTCAGTCTATTCACTCTTCCCCAACCCACTGTTGCAGGTAAAATCGTCGATTACGATCTACCAGTAACAATATGTATCTCTGACATTTGATATGTCACCGAATGGGATAAATGATATATCGATATGTATATACATATAATCTAGATGAGAGCACTCTGCTGGGGCGGCGCGAAGCGCCCCTCCCCAGAGCCATCAATTATACGAACATCTCGCTGTCGATTCAGCGAATAGTTTGCCATCGATTACGCGAGTATTTCATTGTCGATTTAAAATGTATTACAAAAAATCAAATGTTAATATGTAACACAATAAGATATTTTTGGAATCGAATCTGGTTCTAGTAGTTATGATCTAAGGGTATAACATTTTCTTCCACTTCGACTTTCGCGAAATATTCGTGTAATCGACGGTTATGATTTATATGTACGTATATCGATGATATTACGTATTTACTACGTATACAAGGCTGTCTTTTAGACAAGATTTTGAAAATTGTGAGTTTTAGACAACTTGTCTAAAAATATAAAGGAAGAAAGCAATACAAAATCTAAAGCATTCTCTTTATTTAATTGATGTAAGGATCTACAATATTTTTAGACAAATTTTTTTATAACACCAAGATTTTGCATATTCTTATCTCAAATATTTTTTCTCGCACTGTCTAATTGTCTAAAAGACAGCCTTGATGTATATGTACCCGGAGTTGATCACCGACAGATTTTCAGGTTATTCTGGGAAGTGAGAAAAAGTGTCCAGCTTAAAAACTTATATTAAAAGCAATATAAGTTATTTAGCAAAGCAATATGACCAAATATAGGGATGCGCAAATTTTTGATCAACCCCGGCCGGCAAAACAAATCCTACACAAGATACGTCTGAAAAATGCGAGATATGTTAATACTACAAGAAAACCGGTGCTTAAACCTGTCTTAGAATACTAAATAAAAATGGTAGGAAGGTAATTTTATATAACCTTGTCCTCTAACTCTAATCTTTACCCTTACCCTGACCTTATAAATCATTAATCGGTTGCACACTGAAAATTTAGAGGGACCGAATCACATGTTCACCACGCTTTAGCATCTCAAGATATAGCACTTATAATGATAATATTTTTAGCGTTGACATGGAAGGAGAATGAATATATCATGTATTAATTACGCCGGAACCGTATCGGTATATGCTGTATTAAAAAACGCAAAGTTTTTTAAATGATATTTTATATTTCTCTATTTCTTTGCTTGTGCTGTTCTGGGTTTTCTTCCTGTTTCATTCACTGTTTCAGGTGAAAAATGGTCTCTTTGTCAATATTAATACTGTTTGTTGTTTCGCGACCATTTTCATATTCGCGGTTTCTGCTGGCTTTAATTTGGCCTGTTTACTCTTCATTTGGTAGCCATTGTAGTTTTCATTGTTGGTACAGTGACACTATTAGTAAAAAATACACTATCGCTATATCTAGAGTTTAGTCCCCACTATGGTGCATAACGATAACAACTAAAGTCACCAAACGTTTGTGGATAAACTTTATCCATTTTATAAAATACAAACGTTTGATGACTTTAGCCATATGCAAATCCTTACCGTTACCGTTACTAATTTTCCAGGTAAATTTACTTTTTACTGTGATGGATGTATTCGTCTGAATTACATACATCAGTATTCACTATCTGTATATAGCGATAGGGTATTTGGGATCTAAAGTCGACATTTTAATTTTAATTTTTTTTGAATCTTCTGCTTTTTACTTAAAATAAAATCTATTAAAATGCAATTTGATTAGCAATTATCATTATCGTTATGAAATTAACAAAAAACTTTCAGATTTAATGCAGATCAGTACACGCGCGTGCAAAATACGCTAGCGTTAGCGATTTCCGCGACCCATATAAAACAATTGGAATTTTCAACTTGATTTGGTCTCTTTCTAATTAAATTTATTTCTTCAAGAATTAGACTTTCATTTATTTTTTCGTTTGACTATTTTTTCATTAATTCAATTGACTATATAACTAATTTTAATCTATGAAATAATTATTCAGCAGTCTTAAAAATAGTAAATACTTCCGAAGTGCCGTAAATCTTTGAGTCCGATGCCAACACAACAAGAGCATAAAACTTGCCATCGAGTGGATATTTGTCAGTGATTTGGAATCCATCCCAAGTGTTTCCATACGGTTTATCAGGAAGCTGTTGAATCAACTTATCGGGTCCACTAGAAGCGACTTGATAGATATATACGTGAACCGTTTGTTGCCATTGATTTGGCACAGCAACATTAGCGTTCCAGCTTACGGATTGATAAGAGTATCTTGCCCATGGTCCTTTGGTGGGTGCAGTGACTTGGATTGGTCCACTCTTTGGAGCAGGATTTGATGGAGTCGATGGAGCCGGTGTTGCAGTTGCAGTTGCATTTGTGGTTGCATTTGTGGTTGGGGATGCCGACGAGGATGCCGATGAGGATGCCGGTGCGGGTGGCTTTTCGGCGGTATTAAAAATAGTGAATATTTCTGAGGTACCATAAATAGTGTCGTTCGAAGCCAATACAACAAGAGCATAAAATTTGCCATCGAGTGGATATTTATCAGTGATTTGGAATCCATCCCAAGTGTTTCCATACGGTTTATCAGGAAGTGTGTCAATCAACTTATTGGTTCCATTAGCAACGACTTGATAGATATATACATGAACCGTTTGTTGCCATTGATTTGGCACAGCAACATTAGCGTTCCAGCTTACGGCTTGATAAGAGTATCTTGCCCATGGTCCTTTTGTGGGTGAAGTGACTTGGATCGATCCGCTCTTTGGGGCAGGATTCGTAGGAACTGGAACCGAAGTCGAAATCGTAATGAACGCAAAGAGAACCAAAAGTGCTAAGAAGAATGTCGATTTCATTGTTTTGTCATTTATTGTTATTAGATCTTTAACGTATCGAATTCTCTTGACCTTTGTCAATTATATTTTCGTCAAAGATTCTACTTATATATGTTTTTTTATATAGAGGACACGTTGTTCGTTTCGTTTACAAGTCTAAGTGTAGTGCACAAAAAACTTGCGTTAACTAATTATCAGCTGTACACGTAAACAAATAACACCCTTTAGGCGCAGGATCCTATAATTTCCTTATATTTTCATAGAGTCAATTATGCATAATAGATGCTGGTACTTGATGGTTAACCGAGTACAAAACCAAATAGGGCTATTTTATAATCAAATCTGCATGACTTGGAACACAATGCCGCTTTTTTAGTTAGCGAAAGAAAGGACGATTTATGCATAAATAAATTATTAATGTCGCAGCATATGCTATTTAAATCAATTTTTAATAATTCCTTTGTGAAATGTTACACAACAATATTGTTCGTGTATATGCTAATCTATTCAACCTTAACGTTAACATATGTATAGAATAGTTTTGATTTTTATACAAGTCTAATGACGTTTATCGTTATCTTTTGATACATGTATTTTTAAGCGCATCAGAAACGTGCTCAATACAGCAACTATCATATGGCGGCAATTGTTTGCAGATTCGTATTTTGCTGTAGATTTTAGCCAATTCTGTGTAAGGGGGGATAAAACAATGGGAAAATAACAAATTAAGTCACTATTTTGGCGTGAAGAAGCCAAATTTAGTTTAATCCGGTGCAAGAACACTTTTTTGTCAATTTTGGCAATATCGTCATTTTTGTACCATTGTAATCTACAAATTCAAGGTAGATTGCCATTTACATGTATTTGGTATTGCTTGGTTAGAGTGGCTAAAGTTCTTTTCCGTGAAATAAATCAACTTCATTTTCGTATTTTATAAAACTTGTAAAAGTTACTTTTTGGGAGATAGCTTTGACGACGGAAAACTATGCATTCGATCCTCGTTATGACAAAGTGGCTGTGGGACACACAAGAAAATGCATTAACATCCATCCGCTCTATCAAACTACTAACGGGATTTTATGTTTTTATGTGAAGCGAAACTTTTAAAATTATAACGCGGGTTGAGCATATTACTATTTTCTAACTTCAATTGAATTCTAACTTCTAATAGAATTCGCATCAACTCCAATCTACGAATTGCGTGAATCCCCTAATAACAGCAGACACATATGTCATTTCATTACGAAAAAAGAGAAACTTGTTGCATTTGGCATACAGATAATAATATATTTGAATAGCATGATATATATTGTATTGACGTTTAACTACAGTCGTAGTCTCTTTCCTGTTCCCGGTTCCAGCTATTGTAAAGCATATGAAATTTGACCTCCATATAGTCACATCTTTAAATCAGGGTATGATTATATGATTATATGGAGGGACGACTGTAGAAGTCAATTTCATACTGATTGATACTTTTGCTTTTATTAAGGAATAAAATAATGAATTGAAAATTTAAAGCAATCAATACTACCAGTATGATTAGCTATATTGATAACATATATGTAATAGATATTATATATAGAAAGATGCCTCCTACGTAGGATTGGAATTCGCCTCAGTTTTATTCCTAGTTGGCTGATAAATGTTTTCAGTTTTCTTCTTTGAAGCGTAGGCTAGTAAACAAATTTTAGGATCCTGTGATCACTTCAAGCATAATATTTGCAGGTTAGCCCGTGAGATTTATTTCCATTTTTACGAATAGCATTATAATCAGCGAAACAACTGTAATAAATGAAGAGGCCATATTAAGAAATAGACTTTATACCAAATCCTCAAAAGTAAATAAAATACTTACAGCCAACAAAATTCATATCCACATCTAGGCGCGCGACACGTCATATGATCACATCCATTATTCTTTTCAATATTAGCCTTACATTTCGGACACTTTTTTGTCATAGAGTTAATATAGGCTTTTGATTTTGCTTCAATTTGTATATTTCTTTTTTTCTGCAAATCTTCTTGTCTCTTTAGCTCTTGTTGTGGCATTTGTTTAGCTAGATCATTTTCAGCAGTACAAGTTTCATTTCGTTTCTCTTTTGATCCATGAGACTTTTTGAAAAGGTTTAATAATGATTTTTTCTTGATAGGTTTTTTTTCACGGACATAAGATACGTTCAAAGGGCTATTATTCGAGGTCAGTAGGTTGGTGAGTTGTGGAGCTGTAGGTACTTGCGTAATGACTTGCTCATTAACAACTGTTTCAGTTATATTGCATTGTGGACAGTTTAGTGAGCCATCTGGAATTGGAAGTGAATGCATAACACACGTTTTTTTCAAGCAGGATTGACACGTCATTATTGGTGCGGCGTCTTTTATAGTGGATTAATAACGATAATAATTAGAATTTTCAAACTTTAATTCTTAACCAAACAATTAAACTACTTTATAATATTCACCTCCTTCATAATGAATTTGACCAGAATCACAATTCGGATTTAAGCACCAATAAAAATCGTCCATTTTTGAAAGTGCAGCCACGAGTGACAATTTCTGATATCTTTTCAAATTATAGAAGTATGTAAACTAATATTCATCTCTTTCGCATTTTTGAAAGAAGTTTTCGTTAAAAAAAGCTCACCTTTCAAAGATCGTTTCATTGGACAATTTTTTGACATCATCTTCAGTCATCACACTTTGGCAATTCTCATTTGGACATATAATTTCAATGTTTCCTTTAGCTTGCAACTCGTGTTCAATATGTCTCGCAATACACTCTTGACAAATATCGTTCTCATGCTGACAATTGATCGAAATTTGAGTTAATTGTGTCATATCGAAAGTCTCTGCACATATGATACATTCTTTCATTTGTGGAAATGAAGCTAAAGCAGAACCTCGCGGAGATGAAGCTGTCAGAGGGAGAATTGACTTTGGTGAAGATGAAGCTATAGCAGAATTCTTCGAAGATGAAGCTAAGATTGGACTTCGTGAAAGCAAAGTGAAAATCGGATTTAGTGAACTCCGCGAAGATGAAATTGAAGGTGTGGTTAAAGTTTGATTTCGTGGAGGAAGAAGATAAGTTAGATTTTGTGGAGATGAAGATGAAGCTGAAGCTGAACTCTGCGAAGATGAAGGTAAAAGTGAAGCTGAAATTGAACTTTGGAAATTTGCGAAAGTTGGACTTTGCGGAGGAGTTGGAACTAAAATTAATTTTCGTAAGCGTGGATTCCTAGAACTTTGTTGGGGAGGGATAATTCGTGGAGGAGGAGAGATTATTGTTGTACTTTGTGGGATAATTGGAGGAGGAGGGTTTATTATTGTATTTCGTGGGATAACTGGATGTGTGGGTAGTGGAAAAAGTGGGACTATTGTTGTACTTCGTGGAGTAATTGGGGGAGGTGATAGTAATGGAGGAGGAGGGAGTATTGTTGTACTTCGTGGGGTAATTGGAGGAGGAGGGATTATTGTTCTACTTCGTGAAGTAATTGGAGGTGAGTGTAGTGGAGAAAGTGGGACTATTATTGTACTTCGTGGAGTAATTGGAGGTGAAGGTAGCGGAGGAGGTGTGGCTATCTGTGAAGTTTGAGAAGGTGAAAGTAGTGAAGGAGAAATAGAAGGAGGTGAGAGTAGTGTGACTGTTCTTGTTCTTCGTGGAGAAATTGAAGTATGCGTTAGAGTCGAGTTTTGTGAGGCAACTGAGGAATATTTCATAGTCGAACTTTGTGGGGAGTATCTTGAATTAAATGTTGGTTGTTTATTCTTTTGACCATGATTATTTTCTCTTGCAGTATTATTAAAGATCGTTTCTTTTCTAGAATAAATCAATAAGTTTTTAAGCTCTTGAGTTCTATTTGATTTTATGTTCCCTTCAGTTTTATCATTGCTTTTCGCATCATTGCTATTGATGGGTGGATAAAATAGATATTTGTCATTCTCTTGCTTCTTGCTTTTGCCTGTTACATTATTATTGTTACTGATAACTAGAGGCTGTGGTAAAAGCATGCAAGGAGATTCATCTAAGCTCATTATTTAGAGTTATTTGGATTTGAAAAGGAAAGTAAAAAATAAAATAATAAATAATGAAAAAGATAAATCTTCACATAATCATTTTTTCTGGCAATTTACATGTACATGTACTTCGTACCAATCCGATTTTTAATAAATACGTACGTATCGGTATCTCTTTTTGGTGAATACATAAAAACCACCATACTGTCTCGCAATAGGTTGCGATTGTATTGTGTCACCATTATTATCCAATAAAAATATCAATGAACAGAGAAAACAAATACATGTACATGTATTATTAATTTGTTTTGTTCGTAATTGATAATTTCTATATCGATATATGCAATACAAATGACGCTGAAGATTAAAAACTTTGGGTTAATTTCCAGTGTAATCGTGCTTATGTAAATAAACCATTTTTGTAGCATTTCAGATGATAAACTTTTTTTTGTTTTACTTGAAAACTTAAGCTTATCTATATTTTTGCATGATTTTAAGGCTTGAAAAAATGGGGATAGCTTATTTTCGGAGATATACGGTAAATAAAATACATGTAATAAATTTTAAACGAAGATAATTCATACAACAGCAACAATACGATCTGTAACGTATTGAGAAAATTTGCTCGCAAGAGAGATCGAAAAGATCCTAAATTCACATCAACAACGCCCCTTTTTGTTGAAATAACCAAATTTCCACTTTGTGAAATGTCTTCTCGTGGTGAGACCAAATGCAAAAGAGACATATAGATCCAAAAATGCAATATTTTATAACACGTATAGCAACTTGTTATCTGTTTTAATCGCAAAGACATTGGCATATGACGCAGTGCTTGTAGTGATATCTGTAAAATTGCGACTAATATAAGCAAGGTTTTTATGACAGTACCTTCTTTATTTATTTTGTTTATTGAGAATGATGCGTTCTACAAATGGAAAATACTGCAATTTATTTATTTGTCATCTTTTATCGTATTTATAAAAATATTTACATTATTGAATGAACTTACAAACGGAATTTACTCTGTTTTCTATAAGAGTAAATTAAGTATGAATTATTGGTCCGAAGATGATGTAATATACACCATTAGCGATAAAAAATTCTGAAATTTGATTTTATATTCTCTTTTAAATAAAAGAACCATTAGAATTCGCAAATTTTTTAATTCCGAGACGATTTGAGCAAATATTTTCAAACCGTTTTTTACCCTTTCTATCATCTGGGATTTTAAATGTTAGCCAATTACATATAAAATAACATATTACTCTTATAAGAAAATACGGGAAATTTACGAAAAGTCTATATGTCTGTAAAAGACACGTAAAAAAGTGACCATCAGACTTTTTCGTATAATTGTATACTTTTACATATTACGCGCAGATTTTCTATAGGGTACACTCTAGAAACTGTTTAATGTTTGGAGGTCGATTTAAGATTCTGAAGTTAAATGAGCGAGTACGACTTGACAATTTTCTTTGAAACTTTACATTGTTATAAAAAATTTGCTAAAATTCATGGGCATACGGACTGAGTGCAATAAATTGTTTTAGAATTTATAATACAATTTACATGTTTCTATTGATTGCACTTGGCCCATACAGTGGGAGCTCGTTACAGTAACATCCTTTATATTAACATTTCGTTATAATACCATCAAATCTCTTTCACAGATATCGTTATTTTAATAAGTTTTATCACTTAAATCGTCAGGTTTAGCGGGCAAATTTGCACGCTAAAATTCCATAAATTTATATCTAAAAGATTTTTACCAAAAATTAATTAAATTTAATAAGATATAAATTTAGTTTTTAAATAATTTGATCTTATAAGAGCTATAACAGATATTATAAGAGTTACAATAGTTATTATATAATATTATTATAGTAGTATGATAAAATTTCTTATTAATGAAATAATATGAAAATCCAAAAAAAAATAGAAAATAGAAATAATCAAAAAAGATCAAGCAAAAATAGATTATTATTTCATCTTTTTCTTTTCATCTTGACTTTTTAAAGATTTATCTGAGTTTGCTGAAAAATTAATATAAATAATTATTAATTTTGAACAAGTTGTAATTAATGTATTACATTGTGAATTTTCTAATACAAGTAATAAAAAATATTTTTTCATTAAATCACAGTAATTAACATAAAATACAAGAGTATAAATTACTTGTTTGATATAATAATAATAAATATTTTAGTTTTATTATGTGATATTTGTTTGCTCTAACATTTCTATTATCATATGAAATTTCAGATATTCAATATTCTAAAGCAAAATATATTATTTAAGACAAATAATATAATTTAAAAATTTAAAAATAACAATATTTATGAAAAAGTATAATAATAATTGCAAAATGAAGTTATAGATAATTTACTTTTATTTTTATTATAATTATAATTATAATTAAATTTTGATTTAATTGAATTAGAAATTTCATAAATATAAATACTATAAAGACTAAGGATACTTGCCAAAATCTCTCCAAAAATATTTTACCAATTTGGTAAATTATATTTTAATTGTTAATTAGAATTTTAACAGAATTTTGATTTTAATGAATTTCAAAATACAATAGAATTTTGGCATACTATTTTGTTATAATTTTAATAAAATTAGATAATTATTAAGAAATTTTAGCAAGTATTCTTAATAAAAACTTGATATAATTATTAAAAAACTTTAATTAGATAATTATATATAAATTCTTATAAAAATTATAAAAAACTAACAAAAAATTAATATTCAGACTAAATATATTTTTTATAATAAGTTATATCCAAAGCAAAAAAGAAATTTAATTGAAAAAAAGAATTATAATGATTATTAATAACTAGAAACTGTTTAGTAATAAGTTTTTTGCATGAAATTATACATAATTTTTTATTATAATACTAATATTTTTTTTAATTATATTAATATTTTATTTTTTAATAATTTTTTAAAAATAAAAATTATATATTAACAACTAGAATATTAATTTTATAATTTAATAATTTTAATATATTTTTATAATAAATTAATTATTTGAATAAATAATAAACTGATTTTAAAAATAACAAATAATAATAAAACTTCTTATAAATTATTAATAATACAAAAATATTATATTAATATTATAAAGCTATTTATATAAATTTTTCAAAGTTAAAAAAAATATAATTTATTTGAACTATTAAAATTAGAATTTTGAATATTCAGAATTTTAAATATTAGAATTTTTAAATCTTCAGAATCTTGAATATTATGATTTTTGAATTTTCAAAATTTTGAGTATTGAAAATATTAATTATTAGATTTTGTAATTATCAAGTTTGTAATCTATTAGAATTTTATAATATTATAATTATATTGTTAAAATTAGAGATATCAAAATTATAACTATTATAATATTATAATAAATTCTAGATAATAATATTTATTTATACTTTTTACAAATTTAGTACTTAAATTTATTTTTATTTTATTTTTACAATATAAATAATTATAGTAACTTTATTATTTATAATAAAAATAGTTTAATTTAATAAATTAAATAATTTATTATACTATATATATATATTAATTAAAATAAAAAATATATTAATTTTAAATTTATAAACTATTTATTTTTCACAATGTATTTTTATTATTATTATTTTTAACAAAAATTTTATAATTCTTAATTTTTAAATTATTATAAATTATAGTTTAATTCAATGATAATTATATTAATTTTCTCTTTTATTTTTATTATCTTTTTAATTAAAAATTAAAATAATTATTAATAAATCATATTCACTTTATTTTCTTTCACTTTTGTTTTCATCTTTATTTTTTCTACTTAAAAATTAATAATTTTATTTTATATTTTATCTTTAACAAAAATATTTTTAATTTTTATTTATTCTAATTATCTTTTCATATATTTTTAATATTAATTTTCTCTTATAATTTATTTTATATTCTTAAATTTTTCTTTTGAATTTTTCTTTTTACTATAATTTTATAATCTTATATTTTTCTTATTTTTAACGACTAATATATATTATTAAAATTATAATATTTATCTGTCTGTTTGTAAGAATACTTTCTTACGTGAAAAGTAATAAGATAAATTTATTAATTGTTGTAAATAAATTATATCAATTGAGAC